GAGCCATAGCCCTGTCCCCCAGGGCATGAAGCAGGCATGGAGGAGATCCAGGCCCCAGACATCCAGAGGCCCCAGAGTGCAAGAGCCCAAGGAGGACCACCGGAGGGGCATCCGTGCCACCCGCATGCACACATATACAAACACTCAGCACTCCCCCAACGTAAGTGCTTTCATTTTCAAAAGACTGAAAGATGATGTTCTGGAAAAGTTACAGACTTTACCAAATATTTACACAAAAAATTAAATGGAATGATAAAAGTAAACTCAAAGGCATTTCTCTCAAGGTCACATTCAGTTTCATCCACATGTCTGGAGGGTTACCCAGAGAAATCATGAATTCAGTCCACAGTAGAGATCAGTTTATGAGTGAGATTTCCAAAAAGGTTTACAAATCCGTCACTGCCCCTCTCCTTGGTGGGTTCCCTGAAGCACCACGAAATCCAAAAACAAGTCTCCAGTTAACCTGACTCATGGGACTGATTCTAGAATCATCCACAGACTCTATTCTCCAAAAAGAAACTTTCCACCAATGAAGGTTTTGCTGGTGGACATGTGTAACCGGTGTGTTCCTGCATTGTGTCTGACAATGAAAGGTAAAAGAAAGAAAGACCTCCAAGTCATTAACTTGCCAGCTCCAGCTCCTACAACCAAATGCAAACAGTAGGGAAGAGGGTTAGCTCAACCCACCACAACTTCCAAGCTAGCAAGAATTATCTATTCATGCTAGCATAGACTATAACACATATGTGGCACACACATATGTGTTATGCACATTTACTGCATCTAGCAAAGACAGGCACAACGATGACAATAATTGAACTAAAAAAAAAAAACACACAATCAGAAATATCAGGGTGGCTAATTATACATTATATGTGTATTGTACAGTGTTGGGAAAGAAATGACACCAACCTCTCCCACAGGAGAATTGTAGCAAAGGGGAGAGGCCAAAGGAGTACCCCATATTTATAGGGTTGCACCAAAGAAGAAGAAGAAGGAGGAGGGACTCTAACTGATAATGAACATAACTACAGGCCTGGAGGTCCTAAAAGTCAGATATAAAAGAAACGGTTTGGGGTCTAGAACAAATTTTGTGTAATTATAGCAATATGTAATCTGTGACCCGGTTACACATGAAACAGGATTCCTCACACATAGCCAGCTGACTCCCCATGAATCTTGACCTGGAAGAGAAGGCAAACTGGGTGAGGCACAGAATCAAGCAAGACCACGATCTCAAACACAAGAAACACAGCCAAAAGAGTCCTACCAACAACACTGATGCAAAGAATAACAGATCGAATGTGAAGATTTCTCGATTAGGATTTCATGGGACCTAAAACTAAAATCTGTGTTTTCATGAGTGGGTTTTTAGCTTTTCCCATCCTATTACCTTCATGAATTGCAGAGTGATCATGATTTGGAGGATCTTAAAGGCTTTTTGAAGACAGCAGCAGGGTGCTCAGTTCAGCGACCTCTTCAGCATTACTAGTGGTCGATATTATTATGCCACTAAAGCCACAGAAGGCGTTTAATGTGTATAGAAGTATGTGACAACTTCATGTCATATAAGATGTTAAAACCAATATACCACACATCCCTAGATTTAAGATAATCTTTTCTGCCCATGCTTAGTGTCTTTTTAACAGACATAATTTCTGTTTACTACTCTC